TGGGTTCCGCGCAGGCTGGGGTGGGCTTGAAATGCAGAACCCTCCCAGGCGCGAGGCAAAGGTGGTGCGCGAGTAATTGTTGTTGTTTTTGTTTTGGGGGGGGCGGGGGGATGGGAGGATCGAGAAAAGGGCGGGTGAGGCGGGGGAAGCACACTTGCTCGCAGTCTCGCGTGAGCGCTCAAATTAGCTTAAGGTGTACTGCAAAAAGCATGCTAGAGACGTTTGTGCAAGTAAGATTTCCGCTTCTAGCTCGCATCCAAGTTGGACACCACTAAATGGCAGCGTTGCTCAGATGAGCCTCAGCTGATGTCACGGTTGCTCCGCCAGTGGCCTTCACTGAGCTGATGCTGAGGAATTTCATGGAGGTTGCAGCTAGCTACACGACACCTGCCCTGGTGTCTTCCAGACTTTGTCCGGATCGATCTCTTCGCAAACCTTTTCGACGTCGAAACCATCAGCCTGCGGAACAAAAGGTAAAACCAGGGACAAGATGACAAGTCATGAGTCTTAACTTTGGCTCCTTCGGATTGGGCTGGTACTGGCCACCCGAAGCTGCCTGCTTCAGGTCTGCATGATGGCAACAGATGTAATTTGTGCAGGTTCTTAGCTTGCTGTCCTGCACGATCCCCATGGCCGATGCCCCTGCCAACAGCACAGATTCGACTCAAATCTTGCCAGAACATCAAAAATGGAAGCTCGGCAGTGGTGACGCGCACTCCTGTTTATGCAGCACCAGATGCTAGCTCCAGCACGTTCCAGCACCTTTAGCGTCGGAACACGACAAAAAGACCAGCTCGGAAAAACGTGGGCGCAAATGTTCCATGCAGCCACACGCCTGCTGGACAGCTTTCATGCAGTCTGTGCTGCCTTAGGCAGCACATCAACAATGTGGGACCCCAGCACCACCATTCAAAAGCAGCTTCACAACGCGTTCCCTGAGAACGGCGATTCCGGGTCCCCGTTAGCGCCCAACGCTTCTAAAAGTACACGTACCAAGTAGGTCCGTCTCACTTCTCTGCGCCCAGATGCCTGCACATCCAACAAACTTGTTTGTGACCGAAACTAAAGCTACAGCCGCACAGCACCTGCACCCAGGCGAAGTGTCTTGGCTTCAGAAATGCCAAGAAATGGTATCCTTAACAGAATAGCTCAGACAGCGTAGACAGCAGCTGCACTTGACATCTCAGCTGCAGCCTTCTCTGCTTGAAAGGAGTGGTTCGGAATCGCTCCTGTGACGCTTCAGGGCATAAGAAAGCACAAGTATGAGCGTGACGCAACACAATCTTGCAGCCTGCTGCTCAGGCTGGCGGCTGGGCTTGCCATACTTCTCCAGCCAGGCTGACAAAGAGTGCACACTCGTGTCAGCCCGCGTGTTTCTGACCATCCTGCGATAGCAAAGAATGAATGAAGAAGTCGTCATCTGGGCTGGCACCTGTAGTCATCCTGCATAGCTTTGTCAACACTTGCCTCCGCGGGTATTGGACTGCATGGCAGATCGTTTGACTCAGTGCAATCTTTTGCACCTGCCTGCTTTGCTGCAATCTCACTGGCAACGCTCTGCATATTCCGCATACTCTTCTGGTATTCTGCGCTCTGACCTTCATGTGGCGGCGTATGCCTTTCGCAATTTGAAAGCACAAGCTGGCACAGCGGGCTCGCAAGGAAACAGGCTGAAACCTGTACTTCGGACCGCCCCACAACCGGCTAGCCAGCGCGTCCTCAAGGTTGCAGATTGATTGCATTCAGAAACTATGCAGATGCAAAATGCAAGTTCACTGCGAGATCATCATCCGAGGACATCACCTTTGCCAGCGCTTTTGCATTTCCTGACGTTCAGCAAGAACTCCGCGTGGCTGGCAAGAAAGTCGATTTCGGTAGCGATGCAAAGGAGCACCTTGCTGGAGGTGGAGGTCCGCTTTGACCTGCCTGCCCCACTCTTTGGCCATCTCAGCTTCCTGCAGGATCATGAGCATAGGTCAGAACCAGAGAGGAAGTGAGGGATTTGCCCAGGACACCTGCTTCATGCTCTCCAGTTTCGAGGCAGAAATGGACCGCTGCTGAAGCCTAGCGTGTCGAACACTGCAAGGCTCAGATCAGCTGCACATCGTCCCACCTGTGAGGCGCATCCAAACTCAGGCGGCAAATGCCATCCTGCCATGGAGATTCTCATGACATATCGGCATGGCGCCTGACACAAACACCCAAGCAAGCTCCTCCGCGCGCTTCTTACTTGAGTAGCCATCCATATCTCTGTACGCGGCCGAAAAAACCCATTTGTTGAGCAGAATGCTGCAGATACGAAAAGCGATATAAGCAATTACAAACTTCTGGCAGGTATACATTCTGCTTAGTGCGCAGAACATCCAAAGTGCAGCAATGCCTAGCTTTTCCATTGCCCTGTACTTCTTGTCGATGCGCCTGGCAAAAAAAATGCTCAAATTGTAGTGCATCTCGGGACTGGGCATGATTCCACAACTTGAACTGCGCCGAAGCATCTTGTGAAGGAGATAGAAAAGGGCGCAGTCCGAAAACGAATTGCAGTTCTTTCGCAGCCTCAGCAATCGAGGGGGGTGTGAAGCTCTTCGGATACAAGATGGGAACAGATAGATGTCTGGGCCAGGCACAGGTCATACCTTGTCAAGATTACAAACGGTCTTGCCCGCAAGACGAGGCATCTCCAGCACATGGGTGGAGCTTTAATTCAGATGGTGCACGTGCCCGAGTGGAAAAACCGTTCCAACGCCGCTTTCATCTGCGTACCGGTGTAAGGAGACATTCCCATGTCAAACACCTTGCCAGGTTGGTGCCAGCAAAGGCAGACTTGGTCCAATCCTGCACTGCTCTGGGTGCCTCAGGCTTCGAATCTGGATTTTGAGGATTCTTGTGCGAAAGCAGACCACTTCCGAAGGAAATGCCAGCATCGCTGAAGAAGTACTCCTTGGTAAAGCACATATCTCACAGTTTTACATCAAGTGCTGCTAATCTTGGCAAACGTGTTTTGCCACGCGAATCCGAGAAGGAGCTCTGCTCAAGAGCCATGCTACGTCCTCGATGTCTCAAATCAGGCACGCAATCGAACTTGAACGGTTCTTCATCAGCTTTGCGTCCTTCTGACAAAGTTTGCCTGGCCATGTTTGTGATTCTTGTCAATGATCTCAGCCAACAGTTCTTGTGCGAGGGCCATGCAGCTCGCACGGTGGCTTCATGTTTGTACAGGCGAAGATTTTCTCATCTGCGCGCATTATGTTCAGGCATGTTACTGGTTTGCTCGGAGCTTCCTCAATGCAGGCTGGCTATTTCCCATGGACGTGCCATCTCCAAAGGTTGCGCTGGCCGGAAAAACTTCTTGCACGTCGTCGGGAACATCCTCCACAACAGCTCTCGGAAAACATCTTCGAGATGCGACTTGCCGACGGAGATCAGCGAGCTTTTTTGGGAAGCCTTTGGCTATTGGGTGTGCCTGCTCACATTTCTAATCATAGAATGCTAGCTAAATGTCCATGCATGCTTCTCCCCGGCAGTGCTTTCTAATTCAGGCTCTGATTCCATAGCCTTTATCATTGACACAAAAGGTGTTGCATGGCCAAGCTCTGCTTGGATATTTGCAGTGGCAAGCATCTGAGCATATCTGGGCCTGGGGGTGGCCACAGGTTTGTTCGCCAGTGCCTGCTACGTTGGTCTCAGGGTGCCCTTCTCCCTGTGCTGTGGGGCGACTCATGTACCGATATCGAGAAATCAGCGTACGGCTTGAGATTCTTCAAGGCACGGTGGTCTCGCAGGAAATGTCCATGGTTGCTTACTGCTACACTGAACGCTCCGTTACAGCAATCGTCCAAGAAGCCGTATGGCAAGCCTATCAGAACTTCCCTGATATGGCTACTAATCAAAACC